AGGCTGAGGCAGAGAGATGCTGCCAGCCGCCGTCATGAGAAGCAGATGTAAAAGATACCGGTAAGCCATGAGCCATGTGGTAACTTTTAGATTAATAGAAATGGGTTAATTTAAGATATAAGAACTAGATAACAAGAAGCCTGCCACGGCCATACAGTATGTAAGCAATATAAGTCTCTGTGTTTACTTGGTCGGGTCTGAGCAGCTTCGGGACTGGCAGGTGAGAGAGATTTGTCCTGACCGTGGGCCAGGCAGGACCAGGAAAACTCCAGCTACAGAGAACAGCTTTGGATTTGAACTTGAACTTCTGGTCCTCTGCCTCCATTTCCCGAGTGCTGGAGTTACAGGTGTGTGCCAACATCGTCCTTTATGTGGTGCTGGGGATAAACCCCGCGCTTTGCATATGTTAGACTAGATCTACCAACCGCGCTACACCCCCAGGCCCTGCCGTCCTGTCCCCTTACTTTCATACTTATGTTTATCATCCTGTTAGAATACACAGGCAGGGAGAGCAGGGGCCCTTGTTGGGTTTCTTCACCTGTGTGACCCAAAAAGGTTTGGCACAAAGCAGGTAACTCAGCCAGCACTTGCTGAATGAATCGATGGCCAAGATACAATATACATTGTGCAAGAACACCTACGAGCCAAAAGATCCACTTCAAAGACATTGAGCGCGATTGCCCAGACAGTGCAAAGCACGCAGGGGATGAAGGAAGACACATCCTAAGACTGCAGAAGAGTGTTGAGGGGAACGTGGGAATGAAAGAGGTTAGGTTCATAAGGGGAGGGTGTGGGAATAAGGCAGGAACCAGCCTTGCTAGGCTGTGTAGAACGTTCTGGGCTTGGGTAGGTAGGTGGCTTCCTCTCTTGCCTCCCAGTGTCAGCCCTGGGCCTGCAATCAGCCATGTCTAGCCTTTCTAAGGCGTCAGATTTTGAAAACGGAAGCCCAAGGCTACAGAGTCCCTGCCCTAGAAGCTCAAAAGTCTGAAAGACTCCAGGTGGAAGGCCCTCCTGACCCATCTTAGGAAAGACACTGGTCCCAGGAATCTGCCCCAGAGACAGACGCTCAAGCCCACAGAAGCTCGGCCTATTTGTGGATCTGGAATCCCAACTAGTTAACATGCATTAGCAGCTTTAAAGCACAGCTTTCAGAACTGTGTTCATGTGGGGAAGTTCCTTACAAGTCAACAGTTTCCCTACCTTGACATGAGAATTACCTGAAGAGGAGCTTTGGAAAAACAATCTGTCTTAGTTACGGTTTCTATTGCTGTGAAGACACCATGACCACAGTAACTCTTATAAGGAAAACATTTAATTGAGGCGGCAGTTTACAGTTCAGAGGTTCAGTCCATTTTCATCAGGGTGGGGAGCGTGGTGGTGTGCAGGCAGACATGGTGCTGGCTACATCTTGATCAAAAGGCAACAGGAAGTGGACTGAGTGTCACACTGAGAGACGCTGGAGCAAAAGAGACCCCCAAAGCCCACCCCCACACTGATGCACTTCCTTCAATAAGACCACACCTACTTCGACAAAGCCACACCTCCTAATAGTGCCACACCCTTTGGGGGCCCTTTTCTTCCAACCCACCACCCAGTCCTCAAGCCAGATTCCCCAAAGATACTTGAGGGTCTGTGAAACTGTTGAGTGTTGTTTTTTGATTCTCCAGGTAGGTGTGGCCCCTTCCAAAGCCCCTTCCATCCCCAAAGTGGACAGACAGAACATGAGTTAGTACTTAGCATCCCACGTGCTCTCCTCTGGGGGGTTGCGTGCAGTAATTCCCTGGGACAGGGTTGCTGGTCGGAGCTTCAGAAGCCAATACAACAAGAATGCTGGGTGCAGGCCTGCACAGCAATGCGTCCAAACACCCCCTCAGCCCTGCTGGGGCACCGACATTCCAGGCCCACCCACCTGGGCCCTTGGTCACCAGGAGACCTCACGTGTACACACAGGCTATAACCTGCCCTAAACCCAGATCCGGCAGCTCTTCCCAAGCGGCTCTCAGCCTGCTGGAAACAAAGGCGATTGTTCTCTTAGGAATGTTCTGCCAGGAGGTGGATGTCAGTCCATCCTTTCTCCCTCTCGCTCTCTCTCCCAATCCCTTCCTGCCTGGGTTCCCGCCTTTAATCCCTAGGAGAGAAAGTGTTGTCAATAGGGCCGCCCTTTGCACCTCCCCGGGTCCACTTGGGAAGTCACTGCGGGCACGCTGGTGTGGTTACCGGTCCACAATCCCCCCCACTCCGAGTGGGCGCCCTCCAACAGTCAAGAGGCACGTTTTCCACACTGGAGGCTGAGGGGCAGGTAGAGGAAGGGATTTTTTTTAAACACACACTTGGAAATGCCAAGCTTCCTGTGGGAATCATCCTATTATTGAAAGGAGGGCTGTGTCTGTCCCTGCCCCCACCTAATGAAGCAGTAAATTGTAACAAGAGAATCTGGCTGAACAAGTTTCTGGTTCCGCGCTATCTCGTGGACAAAGAACTCTTTGAATATGGTTCCTGTGTTTGGCTTCTAGTGATGGAGTGGAGAGCGATGTTTTCACTATTGCTGGAATTTTCTCCCTTCGGCAATGTCCAAGAACAGCCATTCACAAGGAAGGCTGCAGTTGGGTCCCATGGGGCAGGAGGCCACGTGGCGGGAGAGCTGTGGCCGGACCATTTCCTGCTGATTAACCTGTGGGTATTGATAATATTTCTCTCTGGGAAGCTGCTGTAGATAGGGCGTCTGTCCCTTGCTGGTCACCAAATCATCAATAAGCAGACAGCTGCCCCCCCCCTTCCTTTTTTTAGGAGGGTGCATAATCCAAACATGCTAGGGATGAGTGATTGATAGAAAGCGCCGGTTTTAAAAAGGAGTCCAAATCTAAACAGAATGTGTCTGGTTACTAACAAAATTAAATTACCCTCAGCCGAAGGAACTTCACTGCCAGTGAAAACAAACTTAAAGTTGCAGATAAAATAGAAACTCGGGCATAAATTCTTGGCGGCTCCTAAGAACAAGCAAATGGCATTGTCAAATTTACGAGCTTAATTTTTTTTTTCGTATTGTCCCCACTTTGATATACTCTGTCAATGAGAAAGCACATTTTTTTTTTTCTTCTGTATTTGAAGGGTCAAAAGTCGAATAGACTGGTCCAAAGCACCCGGAGTCCGGGTTTTATTTAACTTTCTTCTCTGGGCTGTTCTGGGAAATAATTCTTTTTTTTTTTTTTTTTTTTTTCTCCCTAGAAACACGATAAGCAGGCTGCTGAGGAGAGAAGGGCCAGGAATGGATTCTTCCTGGCTAGCATGGCGTCTCTCTGCTCTCAGGACTGCACAGTCTTGGGATTTGAGAAGGACAGAGGCATCCTCATGGGGACTAACATGCTCACAAGTGAAACAGACAGATGCCGAGTGAGAAGGAAAATGGCCTCTGGATATAAAATGCTTGGAAACTGTCTAGGGAGGTTGCAGAGAAGAACTCTCCAGAGAGTGGATGAAGCCTTGACTGAATCTGGGGCTCACCTGTGAGAGACATGCCCAAAGTCCTGCTAAGCCGTAACCCCTGAGCCTCCAGGTGCTGCTGATTAAAGAGCCTAGACTTTCCACTCTGCAGAGTTGGTTTATTAAGTGTTCCGACGAAATGAGGTCTTCCCCATGAAAGTCAGGCTTTAACAATGACACCCCTTTCTTGTCTTTGAAGTCAGTTTCAAAATCTCTTCCCCGACAGAGAAACGTTGGCTGCCACATACGTCCTCCACACCCCTCTTAGTTACATCATGGAGTGCAGCTAGTCCCTGCCTAGCCCTATTTTAACCATCCAGGTGGCTTTGTGCCAGGGGAAATGTTTGCTTTTATTCTACCTTGGATGAATGTGCTATAATGTTCCACTAGGGAAGGTACCCCCTCAGTCCCTCTTCATGAACCCCCCACCAAAGTGGGTGGGTTTTCAGGGGAGTACCTGGGAGAATGCGGATGTGTGCATCCTGGTGCTTCATGGGTCTGTGTGGCTGCAAGAGAAAGGTTCTTCATCACCCCGTCACCATGTTCCAGAAAACGATCTGAGCAGCTCAGTGTTGGCAGCCCAGTGATGCCCACAGTGGGGAAAGGCCCCCCGCCACCCTCTTCTGTCCTTCTCAGCCTCCTTGTGGTATCTGAAGTTTGCTGACAGGTTCTTCACCATCACGAGACCCACCAACCTACCAATGAGCTCAACCAGGTTCTTAGTCAACATGGGATCCGTGTTGTGAGGACCTCAGTGGGCCCTGGGTTGTCACAATGAATGTATCTCATACATTTTGTTACCACTGTCACCCCCTTTTTTTTTTAAATGTGCTCTGACCCATTCTATTTAAGCCCCCTTTCAAACTACCAACATTCTTTAAAGCCCCCCCCCCAATGGGTGTAACAGTGGTTTTAAGTTTCAGATCAATCCAGGACAAACTTATTGAGAATCCATTGTCTTCCTTCACTTCACATGTGTTGGTTTCCTATGTGATAAGACATCAGGAATGTAACAGCAAACTAGGCTGGCCTTTATGACTGAGGCAAAGGATGTCCAGGACAGTGCTGACCATATATTCTCCAATCTTTCTGGAAGTTTCTCACGTGTTCCCTCTCCATCTCTTTGGCTCTGCTATGAAGGAATGGCCATGCTCAGTCAGCCAGAGTGTTAGGAAAGGAGACTGTTGTTGTTGGTTGGTTTGTGTTCTTTTGGGGGCCCTACCACCCAGCTCCCAAATAAATCACACACAGAGGCTTATTCTTAATTATAAATGCCTGGCCTTAGCTTGGCTTGTTTCTTGCCAGCTTTCCTTAACCTAAATTACCCTGTCTATCTTTGGCCTCTGAGTTTTTCCTTTTCTATTCCTGTATCTTTCTTTGTTTCTTACTCCGTGGCTTGCCGTGTAGCTGGGTGGCTGGGTAGCTGGCCCCTGGAGTCCTCTTCCTTCCTTCTCTATCTCATTTCTTCCTCCTCCTCCCAGATTTCTCCTCCTATTTATTCTCTCTGCCTGCCAGCCTCACCTATCCTTTCTCCTGCCTTGCTATTGGCCGTTCAGCTCTTTATTAGACCATCAGGTGTTTTAGACAGGCACAGTAACACAGCTTCACAGAGTTCAACAAATGCAACATAAACAAAAGTCACGCACCTTAAAATATCATTCCCCACCAGGTTATTGGTAAAAGCAGACACAGGGTCGAAGTGCAGCTCAGAGGCTTCCTTGTTAGGTTGAAGGACATGGAGCTGCTTGGTGTCTCTGAGCAGTTTCCCCTCACAGTGACACTAAACCATTGTCTGAAGGAGTACCGTGGGGACAGACAATAGCAGCAGGGGCCATCAGTTTGTGTCTGGCACATGGTGGAGACTCCAGTGGTCGGTGTGGGGCGCGAGGCTCTATTATTACTGCTATTGCTGCCGCTGTTAGCATCTCTGTGCTCCGTGAGGGAAGGTGTCACCTCTGAGCGGCCAAGGGGAAGAAGACCATAGTGGGGACATTTGGTCCTAGGAAGTCTCTGGGGGTGGGGGTGCGGGTTGCTATCACATCATACCAATCTGAAATTCTCATTCGAGGTGGCATTTTTCAGTAGCAAAAGCCACGGTTCTGTCTTTCTGAAAGAAAATTTCTGTTGGGTCTGTTTTGTTTTCGCTTACGTGTGATTTTCAGCTGATTCTTCTGCTTCTAGGAATCGGTCTTCTTTAAAAAAATTATGTTCTCTGGCAGGAAGTCAAGGATGCTGGAGTCTCACTCGGAATTACCATAGCTGGGAAACATCACAAGGGTTAGCAGTTCATGACTGAAAGAAATCATCACCATCTAAAAAAACGTCTCCCTCCTCCCCTCTCTCCCTCCCTTCTCTCCTTCCTCCTCCCTCCCTCCCCACCTTCCTTTCTACTTTCATTATTTCCTTCCTAGCCTCTTCTCAACTTACCTGCTCGCTTCATTCCTACCTTCCTTCATGTCTCCATCCGTCTCTGCCTCTCTTCTCTCTTTTTGTAGCTTCTTAAAAGTCAGATGAGGCTAAAGAGCACATGACAATTTGACATCTCCTTTCTTCGTCACCTTAGATGAGCAGAAGAAGATAAATAATATTGTGGAATCACCCCGCAGCATTTCAGGGCTAGAGAAACAGCTCTGCAGTTAAGAACACTGGCTGCTCTTCCAGAGGACCAGAATTGGGTTCCTTCCACCCACCAGGCAGTTTACAGCAGTCTGTAACTCCAGTTCCAAGGGATCAGACTCCATCTTCTGGCTTCCTTGGGGAATCATACACACGGTATATAGACATGTATGTAGGCAAAATACTCATACATGTAAAATAAATAAAAATAATTTAAAATAGGGGAGATTTGGAGAGATGGCTCAACAATTAACTGTATTTGCTGCTCTTCCAGAGGACCAAGGTTTGATTCCCAGCACCCACATGGTGGTTCACAATAGTCTGTAAGTTCAATTCCTGGGGAATTCAGTGTCTTTTCTGACCTCCAAGGGCACCAGCATGGATGTGATACACAGACATACATGCAGTCAAAACACTCATATGCATAAAATATTTTTTTAACTTTTAAAACACATAGAAAATGTATATGGTAATGTGGCCTTTTTGTATAGAAAGAATTTTAGGTCTTTATTGTATGTAAAGAGTTTTAAGTTTCACAGCTAACACTCTAGAAATCTCTGCAAAATAAACTATACAGATACTCTCAATAAATTTTTAAATATTCCTTCAACCAGGTGTGGTGGCGCACGCCTTTAATCCTAGCTCTTAGGAGGCAGAGGCAGGCCGATCTCTGAGTTTGAGGCCAGCCTGGTCTACGGAATGAGTTCTAGGACAGCCAGGGCTACACAGAGAAACCTTGTCTCAAATCAAACAAACAACAACAAAAGTAAGAAAAAATTTCTTCCAACGCTCAAATTTAATTTTTTTTTCTTAGTGTTGAGCCTAGGACCTTGCTAGGCCAGAGTTCTACCACTCACCCCCATCTCAGGCCCCTAATTCACAATTTGAATACAATTTTTCTGTTTCTTTTTATTCTTGACATATTCAATATTTCTATTTCCCACTGTTTAAATCAAAAGGGAAATTTCACCTGGCATTATTTATTTTTACTCTTTAATTCATATGCCTCTAGAGAATATATCTTTTGTATGATTCTGTTTTTAAAAGCTTAAGGAAAACAGAAGACGAAATGCCATTGGCTAGGCCCTGTAAGAGGTTGTTCGGAGGGGTCTCGCTTGAGTTTTTTTAAGTCATATTTCAAGTCTTTGATGTTGACAGCCCTGAAATATTACCTTACAATTACATCATAACCATGAAATGACTTGTGTTGGCTAGTGACATGACTTTTTAAAGAGTTTCCACTAAATACACAAATAATGAAATGAAAGGATGTCAGAGTATTCCAAATGATTAGTGATGGTATTAAAATGACCAGAATTGCTGTATATTGTGGCTCTAAGAAATTTATAATATTTATGACCAGACCTTCAACTAACCAGTCTGCATTCTCTTTTTATTTTCCTTTTTAAAATGACTAGTAATTTCTTCTTTTACTATTTCACATGCTCTGCTATTGCCTTAAGACATCAGAACCTTTGATTTTTTTTTCCCCAGCCTTCATGGAGAAAATGCTTATATTCATGCCAGAGTCAATAATGTAGCTGAACTAAATAATATCATCTCAAACATCTGCTAATTCAAAAAATAGCATCATACAGTAACAAATTATACAGTTCATATTCAACTGTGTGACGTGGCCATCCACCAAAAAGAAAGGGAAAGAAAAAAATAAGGCTTTCAAGAATGGTTATTCTGGGTTAGGGATATGGCTCAGTGTTAGAATCCTTCCCAGCACAATGCTTTAATATACAATGGTTCATAATGGTTTATCCCCAGCAGAAATGGAGTCAGAAACAGAAAACAGTAGAGATGTTTTCAATCATCCCTCCACCCAACAAATGAGGCTCCAGAGCCAGCAGAAGTGGGGAATACAAACCCCGCAGAGGCTCAGCTGGCTTTCCTGCCCCTGGGTTTCTCAGACATGAGGTGACCTTGAAGCTGGAGTCTAAAAAAGAAATATTTATAGCACATTCAGGCCTCGAAATACTAAGATACAACTCACTCATCTGGTTCCCAGCCAAAACAATGCAAAACATCATAGCAGCCTGACCCACTGTTAGAGGAACACTCAGCTGTGTGGAATTTAGTGAAGGATGTCTCAGGATGGTACTTTATAAGCCACAGAAGGGATTTTTCAAGAATAATCTAGACCCCACGGTTTATTTGCCCTACCACACATGGAAGATACTCAATACATGTTTAGTTAGGTACATCTGCTGGATACAAGGCTCTGTGCTGAAACTACACGGAAAATTCTAGACTTAATGAGTGTTTTAGAGACAACAGAACACGAGTCTATAGAGAGCTATATTATGTACAGATACACTGAAGTATAGGGTTAGCCACACGTCTGTAGCATGAGCAAATCTTGATATGTCCTCGATATGTTAGTGGTTTCAGCTTCGAGAAAGTTTAGCTGATCATTTAGTGACCTAAATTTAAATGAGAAGATATGGAACCAATTTATTTTTAGAACTAGAGAGTTCACGGTTGGAGGTGGTGGTGACGGTAATTTTTGTTTTGTTTCGTTTTTCAAGACAGGGTTTCTCTTTGTAGCTTTGGAGCCTATCCTGGAACTCATTATATAGACCAGGCTGGCCTCGAACTCACGGAGATCCAGATGTCTCTGCCTCCAGGGCTGGGAGTAGAGGTGTGTGCCACCGCGACCAGCTGACAGTAGTTTTTAGAACAGTCCAGTGGTTGTAAAAACAGAACTGTAAATACAGAATTTGCTGACCACTCCGCTACATTAACCATTAGGAGGCTTTGTCTGTAGCACATACGGTGTGTACATGTGTGCAACACACGCTGTGCATACTGTATGTTTTGCATAGCCATGAGCCATGAATAGCAAACCTTAGCTAGTATACACATGCTGGGTTCAGGGAATTGCCTCCCTTCCACCAAATAGTGTGGGGCACACTGAATCTGAGGTACATCACGACAAGCATGGCTCCCTTAACTTTTCAAACAGAGGATAGGTTCAGGAAAGGCGAGTCCACCTGCTTCTAATTCAGCCATTTACTCCTTAAGTGTTCCCTTGCTGGAATAGTGCTATCCTAAAAAGAAGATCTCTGCAAGCTCTCTTTTAAGTTTTGCAAATGTGTCGACAGGTGGTCCGTCGAGCAGAGTCTCTCCTCCCCGTCCTTCAACTCCCGTTCGGTTCAAATTCAGAATGAGTTTTAGATATTCAATTGGACAGTCCAAGATGTTGGAAACTATAACACCCCCTGATCATGGGGAAAGAACTAGAGAGCAAACGAGTTTCTCACAAGTCAGAGCTAAGCCTCCTCCTGCTCCTTCCAAGATCAAATGGACACCGTGGAAGTTGCATGCAAACCCACTGACAATCTAGAGAAACAAGGTGACAAGATGCGAAGGTGGCTTTGAACGGGGCCGAGCTGCCTGGGATGCCAGAGCGGCCGTCGGGATTACATTGAATCTTGGCAGCTCTATTTTAGAATGAGGCAAGAAATGCAAAGAGCTTCCTCATTGCAGCTGATTTACTGGGGAGCTTCAGAATCCTCCTAGCTGCTTTAGTACCACCATCCAAGTTCCCCCACGCCAGTCCGGGGAGCTGAGCATCATTAGTGTCATCATCTGCAGCCCTGCAAGCAGGACTCTGGACACCCAAAGTTTCAAGGGATGCTGGGCAATGCCGACTCCCGTGGAACAAAAGAACTAAGGGATCCCAGTCATTGATAAACTTTGGTGCAAGGCTTTAGATTTTGGTGTTGGGGGACGTCCCCCTCCCCTCCTTTTCTCATAATGTAAGAGATGGTTGTTTTGCCATGTAATAGAGAGATGTTGGAATTAGAGTCTGGCAAGGGATTTATTTGATCAACAAAACACTGCGCAAAGAATAATCCCGTGCTGCTCTGCTTTCTACGGCTCTACTGCAGATTCATTCTGCTGAAAATTTTCTTTTCTCTTAGCTTCCCCGGAACCTTCCTAGAGGAAGAAGCCCTGACTGAAAGCTCCCATTATGAGAATTGTTCATTTCCAGAGTATCGGCGGCGGCTTCAGCCTCAGGGGAAGAGTTGCCGTGAGCGGCACATAAGTCCTGGCTCTTTGGCTCTCCTCTCTCTCCACACTGGCTCCTGCGGAGATCCTTCACCCTGGAGAATCCACCAGTGTCTGTCTCAAGGCTCTTCTGGAGAGCTGTTGAATCCCAGGGTCTGACTGCAGCCTTGGGTGTGTCCTGCCTGGACTTCTTTTTGCTTGTGGAGTAAAGCCACTTGGTGAAGTGGAAATTTTAAGCATTCTTTGGATGCTCCTGGTGTTTGAATCACTCTCTAAATGAGTTTCATATGAAAGAAGTGTTTGGAACCATTTTAAGGAAGAAAGTGGAGAAAAATATGGGCACTATCAAAGGATGGTGATCTGGTAGTATCTCTGCCGAAACCCACAGAGTGAGCCACATGGCCGACTCCTGGAGGATGAGCATGCGCTAAGAGGGACTGGGTGACCCCATCAGGGACCTTGGTGACTTCACACTCCTGCCACCCACGCTTCTGTCTGAGCATGTCTAATAACAGTGTTGCTCTCAATTTATACAACTTTGTGGCTACACAGAGAAAAATGAGACCCAGCTGAAATCAGAGTCCGGCTTCTGCGAAACCTCTCCGATTATGAGAGAAGTGTAAATAAGCCGTAGCCCACCGAAAGTTCCTCCACTTAAACAGCAAGATCTCTACTGCCGCTGGGCGGCGGCGGCGGCGGCGGCGGCGGCGGCGGCGGCCGCCTTTAATCCCAGCACTCAGGATGCAGAGTCAGGCAGATCTCGGAGGAGTTCGAGGCCAGCCTGGTCTACAGAGCAAGAGCCACGACAGACAGTGCTACACAGAGAAACCCTGTCTCGAAAAACCGGGGTGGGAGGGTAGCGGGGTGTGTCTTTACTGCCTGCTGGGATTGCCCAGGAAATTGGCATGGAGGAAATCACCCCATCTGAGCTGTATTACTGAATACCTCAGACTCACTATCATATACGAGGCTGAGCAATCACCATGACACGTGGGAGAGCTGGAGGAGGGCGGAACTGGTGTGTGGTCACCATAGCGCCAGAACAACAGCCCCGCGGATGTAGTAAAGAACTGCTTAAGGACTCGGGAATATGGCCCGCAGGGCTGCCCTGTATTAAGATGCAAGGAGGAGAAAAAAATTATTTAAATAAAGCTGGGTGGTGATGCACGCCTTTAATCCTAGCATTTGGGAGGCAGAGGCAGGCGGATCTCTGAGTTTGAGCCCAGCCTGGGCTACAAAGTGAGATTCAGGAAAGGCGCAAAGCTACACAGAGAAACCCTGTCTCGAAAAAGAAAAAAAAATTAAATAAAACAACACCATATTCCTGACAAAAAGATAAGAAAAGCAGTGATGAACCCTCCTCCCCAGAGGATCTCGAAAGGAGCCGGTCTCTGGAGAGACTTCGGTTCCCCGGCTTCCTCTCCTTTGCTCCTTACGGTGTAGAGGGATGTGGATTAAGCTGAAGAGAACTGAGCCTAATTCAGTTCTGAGGCTTTCTCCACGCGCCTTCAGACAGTTGGAGACGCACATGGATGCGAAACAAAGGCCGGAAGTCCCTATATTTGCACAAAACCTGGCCGCTTGGGGCTGACCCAACACCTTGGGAGGGCAAAGTAGTGATGGATGAGAACATCTGTCCCCTTCAGGTAAGCTTAAGTAAGGAAAACAGCGGCGTTCTCCTTAAAAAAAAAAAAAAAAAAAAAAAGCCATCTCACAGTCTCTGAAGTCCTACACACACACACACACACACACACACACACACACACACACACCGAGGCACACTGGGGCCTGCTCTGACCCTGCAAAGCACTGAGCCGGCCTGAGCCCTAGGGCCAGCACAGAATGGGAGACAGCTGAGTCAAGGCCCCGGCGGGCGCCAGCCCCCAGAGGTAAGTCAAGCGAGCTGGTGGGTTTTCCTAAACAAAGAGTGCACACACACATGCAGCAGTACTTGATTGAAGACAAATTTCTATAAACATTCCCTTCTGAGCAAACGTCAAGGCCCAGGCTAGCATTTTTTTTTCCCTGCCATAGAAAGGGGGGAAGAGATGAATGGAGACAATTACACTCCCTCGTTTGCTTTGTGAGGTCATAATGTTTCATTATGTGCCAGGAGTAAGAACGTACACACTGAGACAGATAAACCGTCCAGCGTGAGCACCGGGGCGCTTTCAGCTCCGTCTCCTGTTAGAAAAAGACTCCGAGGTCTTCGGTTTCCCCAGGCCAGGCTTTGCTGACCACAGCTGTGGGCCGCTGCCCTCTCCCCCAGCTCATCTTCATCTAAAGTGGAGACAGCGCCTCGGTGAGTGTCTGCTGGGTCCACCACCACCACCGGAGGCCCAGGGGAAGCCGAGGGAACAGGCAGGCCTCAGCTCCTACCCTTGAGAAGTCCACTGTGAGGCCAGGCTCCTCACCGGGTTGTTGCTCCTGAGTGGCAGCCACGGTTGCTAGGCAGTGGATTCAGGACGGTTACCCAAGTCAGGAAGTCAAGTCCTGCTTTTAGCTCTGCGCCTTGACATGTGAGGGAAGTCACTTGTCCCGGATCCTCTGCCCACAGAGTAATACATATAATTAGAGAATTACTTAACATCTGTCCTCTAACGAGCATATTCCCCGGATATAGTTTAATGACTCAAATTAAAAAGGAATACACTCCACCTCCAGGTCTTCGTAAGTAAAACCCAAATGCCCTTTCCTATAGGTCAGAATTATTTCTTCGGCGTCCTCCAAATGCCACACACGAGTTGGGGATTTGTTGAGAGAATTAGCAAATGACTCACGAACCCGAGTTGGGTCCTCATGCCTCATCGTCTGGCATCTCAACGACTGTGCGGTTCTCTGTCCTGGGTGTCCGCCATCTTTCCCACTTAGCATCTACTTCCTTTTTCTCTGCTCATAGCTTTCATAGCTCATAGCTGGCTTTGAGGAGGGATTGCTCTCTGTTGGGTACAATCACGGTGGTTCTTTTAAAGAAAGCTGAGAAACATATAACATCAGGCATGCAATCGTGGCAGTCTTGAGAACAGTCAGAGGCCAGAGGTCCTCTAAACCTGAATTTCCTGCTTACCCTTCCTCTCTGTGGCTTTCTGCCTGTCTTTAGAGTAAGCATCTCTTTGCTTGACTTAAGGCCCGTTGCCAGCAACTGAAGTCGTCTAAACTACTCACCCTTCTAACGCACACCTTCAGAATAGATGGGTTATTGTTGGAATACCGAAATAAAAAATAGAAAGCTTAGAACTAAAAGAAGTCTTCCAGCTGGGCGTGATGGTGGGCGCTTGTACTTGTAGTGCTCAGGAAGCTTTGTGGGACGATCCCGAGTCTGAGGCCACCCTGCCTAGAAAGAAAAACAAAAAACAAAACAAAAAAAGCGGGGCCAGCAAGCTGGTTCAGCAGGTAAAGGCACTTGCTGCCAAGACCAACAACCTGAGTTGGATCCCTGGAACCCCCAGAGTGGAAGGGGAAAACCAGCTCCCCCGAGTTGCCCTCTGACCTCCATGCTTGCTGTGGTGCAAACACACACACACACACACACACACACACACACACACACACACAATAAATAAATAACTGTGGGTATTTTTGTTGTTGTTAAAAAAAAATTAAACAAAATCTAGCTCAAACTTTTAAAAAATTCTCTAGACAAGCAGACCGGAAGGCGTGAAGTAGCATGATGAGAATCCTAACACTGGTTGGTGTCTGGGCCTGGACCCTGGGTGAGCTGGCTCCCTGGAGAGGAACCCTTCTGCTTTCTACTGTTTCAGGAGTTCAGCATTGTCTTCTAAGGTTACCGCCTGTGGCTGCGTTTTGCTACCATGAAAGAATTGAAAAGCTGCCTTAAAGACCTTGCACCAAGCCGGTACTACTGACTGGCCTTTTACAGAGAAGGTCTGCCGTACTCCTTATGTGGCTGGGCACCGCCATGCTCCAGGGAAAACTTATTCGCAGGCAACGAAATTCATGTAAGTTTCAAGTTCCTCAAAATATTAGTCTTTTTTTTTGTTTGTTTGTTTTTCGAGACAGGGTTTCTCTGTGTAGCTTTGCGCCTTTCCTGGGACTCACTTGGTAGCCCAGGCTGGCCTCGAACTCACAGAGATCCGCCTGGCTCTGCCTCCCGAGTGCTGGGATTAAAGGTGTGGGCCACCACAGCCCAGCTAGTCTTTTGATTTATTCCAAACGTGGAAAGATGCACACGGCATTCTCAGTTTGTAGACTGTACAAAAACAGATCCGGGAGCTGGAGAGGTAGCCCAGTGGTTAAGAGTACTTGTTCCTCTTGCAGAGGACCTGGGTACACACAGTGACTCACAACCATCCATAACTCTAGTTCCAAGGAATCCAACACCCTTTCCTGGCCTTCAGAGACACTAGGCCTGCACGTGGTACACATATTCATAGAGGCCGAACATTCACACACATAAATATAAATAAATAAATGACTTTTAAAAATAGCAAGCTGGAGTTGATCTACAGGCTAGTCCACGCAGCCCAGTTAAGCCATGATAGACAGTCCGCTATTTGCAAAGATACAATGAAGTTACCTGACAGATTCACTAAAGTTCTACAGCCTTTTTTTTTTTTAAGTGAGACAGGAGCCTGCGGTAGCCTGACCTCCAACTTCCAGTCCCCCTGCCTCAGACTCCGCTGGTCTGGGATTACAGGCGTGTACCACCATGCTCAACGTTCACCCATACATTTTTTTTTTTTCACTACTATATGGGAGGCATACAGCAAGGAGTAAGATGCAGTCCTTCCTCTCTGTGGCTCCACAGTCTAAGCAGGGGCTCACAGGACTTCCACAATTATATTTTTAATTAATTATTTAATTTTGCAGTACAGGCGATTGAATTCACGTATACTCAGAAAGCACTCCCCCACTGAGCTACATCTCCTGCTCATTTTAGGGAAGTTAGCTCATTTGGGGAATAGCCAGCATGTATTAATTACTTCCTATGATGTACCTTGCCCTTTAGAGAAATCATAATTTCATCTTCATTAACAACGATGTGCACTGGCTCATTCTCATGGTACAAGGGACGGAAGTGATGCCCAGAAAGAGCAAGCCCTTGGCCCCAGGTCACAGAGCTAGACTTTATACTAAGACCCCAAGCTGAACCCTGGGGACCCAAGAATCATATCAAGTAAACCTTCCCTGGTGTGGCTCCCAGCCACACTGTGATGTCAGCTGCCCGCCACTTGCCTCCTTTCCCAGCTCACCCAGGTCTGTGAGCACCAGCCACCAACTCCTCATGGTCCTCCCCTGAACTCACACCCGATGCCTGGATTCCTCATCCGGAGCCAACAGAGGGTTTTGATCGTCAGTTAACTTCTGTTTGCTTCTCCCTGAGCTATCCCATCGGTAGGGGAAACACAAATATTTCTCTGTCTCCTCGGTAATCCCCAGGGACAAACACGGTAAACTCAAAGCTGGAAAAAAATCAACTAGCAAAACAAAGGAGATAAAAAGAGGGAGCAGGCAGCTAAAGATACAATACAGTTCAGAATCAAAACTCTGTCACCCCCTATGAATAATGAGAAAACAACAATTAACAAAAACAGTCACAGAAAGGAGAAGCCCCAAAGCCAGATACGGCGAGGAACACCTACGATCCGAGCATTCGGAGTAGAGGCAGAGAGATTAGAGGTTCAAGGTCATCCTTGACCATGTAGCAAATTCCAAGCCACCCTGGGACATATGAGACCTTGTCTAAAGAAGAGGAGGAATTTTCACACGTGGAAGAAAGGGAGAGGGAAAAATAGCAAGTCATGGTGAGGGACAAATACAATGTTTTCCTTCCTTCATATGAGGAAAGTAAATCACATAGACACACACACAGACATACACACAGACACACACACACACACAGAAACATATACACAGAGACACATACACACACACAGACACACACACAGACACACATACACAGACACACACACAGACATACACACACACAGAAACATATACACAGAGACACATACACACACACAGACACACACAGATACACATACACACAGACACACATACACAGACACACACACAGACACACACACACACAGAGACATATACACAGAGACATACACACACACATACACTCACACAAACACAGACACACAGACACATACACAAAAACAGACACACACAGACACATACACAGACACACAGACAGACAGACACACAGACAGACAGACACACACATACAAATACACACACACAGACACAAACACGCGTGCACACAGACACACACAGACATACACAGACACACATACATACACACATGCACACAGACACAGACACACACGCGCACACACACACATGCACAGACAGACAGACACACACGCACAGACACACAGAAACACACACAGGCGCACAAAAACACACATGCACAGACAGACACACACACACATGCACAGACAGACAGACACACACACACAGACACACACGCACAGACACACAGCAACACACACAGGCGCACAAAAACACACATGCACAGACAGACACACACGCACAGACACACAAAGACACACATGCACACACACGCACAGACACACAGAAACACACAGGCACACACACATGCACAGACAGACACACACATGCACACACGCCCTTGGTGTGACAGCAGAAGCAGGCCCATGTTAGCATACGCTGAGGACGGGCAGGGAACTATTGGCAGGGAAACAAGAGAAGACAACCGGGGATAACCACAAGCGAAATACAATGATTGTGTGTGTGGAAACTATCAAAACATGTTATCTGTATGTATACTGTTTAATTAATAAACAAAACAGGGGGAGTAATGCAGTCTGCAGGTAGACATTTTGTACAGAGAAGCCGCCAGCCGACATTCTCAGAGAATCAGGGCAATGAGGCACCCGCGAGCCTTCTCGGTGAGGAAGGGAAGGGGAAAAGCTACTTGATGATTAAATACAACCACTCAAGAAATTGCCCGAATTAGAGAATTAGTGATGTGAAAAGCACAGTAACAGGACAAGCAATAAACATTGAATCCAATTAAATACAGAGAGGACAGGCCCTCTGGAGCAAGTGAATGCAAATCAGAACCAAGATGCTCTAAACCCAAACAAATTAAAAATCGCAGAAGCGTCGAAATCGGGAGGCAGGAAGAGACAGGGGTGCACCAAGTCATCTCACTGCCCCGCAGGGATTCATCCGAACCCCAAACCACTCCCCTGGATTTCCCATTGAGTTCTTTCCTTCTTTGAGGCAAGGTCTCATTATGTACTGTGTACACCGGGCTGCCATGAACTTGCCGTAATCCTCCTGCCTTTGACTCCTGAGCGCTGAGGTGACGGATGGACATCAGCACATCCTACTTTCCTCCCATGGGTCCTGCAAACGTAGTGTGTGCTCTGAGTCACTGAGCCCTCCACACTCTAGATCACTGGAATAGTTAAAGAATGAATGCATCTTCACGCTGGGAGATTAATCGTTAGGGTTCGTTCATTCCAGCTTCTCTCCTTCCCTCTGCTCATGCTCAGGTAAACCCAACGCTCTTTAACTGTTTTGTTTATTATTATATGTGTATGTGAGATGTGTGTGTGTGTGTGTATGTGGGGTGTGTGTGTGTGTGTGTGTGTGTGCATGCACATGTTTGTGCACATGAAGGCCACGAAAGTCAGAGGACAAATCAGTCCTCTCCCTCTGCCTTGACACGACTCCGGAATCGAACTCAGGTCCACAGGCTTGTGTAGCAAGTGCCTTTAGCCACTAAGCAATCTTAAAATGATTATTTTTAGGCATGTGTAATGTCATGTAAAATAATTCCATGTATATGGACGCATGGACTATGTACATGTCTAGAATATCTGTGTCAGCTGTTACTCACTGGTTATTTTTGGACGGCAACAACAAAAACTCATTCTTATTATGGTCTCACTGAGTCAGGCACTGTCTTCAAGCTCTTCACATGAATCATTCGATTCGGAAGGAGTGGACACAGTCATCATCCCCTTTTACAAGTGAGGGACCTGAGCGTGGTGATGCCTCCTGCGGTTTACGCGCTGGCGAGTGGTTGGTTGGGCAGCGAGTCAAGACCAGCAGCTTGGGCTCTAGAGTCTATGCATTTAATCGTTGCTATGCACCGGTCTCCAGGACAGGCAGGTCACTGGTTGTTTCTGAGGTATTTGCAGTTTTCGTTGATGATGATGTGTGACTTTTTCTTTTTAAGGTCAAGGCTGGTGAGATGATGGCAGGTACCCCAAACCCCAACAACCTGAGTTCCACCCCCAGAACCCACATAGTCAACAAGCTGCCCTCTGACCTCCAAGGCTCGCTGTGCCGTGTCCACACACATGCATGCATGCATGCATGCATGCAGGCACACAGAGACTATTAAATAAATAATTAAAAAACCTGTGTTTAAAAGGTCCATTATTAAAAAAAAAAAAAAAAGTTGTCTACTCCTGAATGTCACCCAAGCTCACGGAGCAGAGCTAAGTGATGTTTGTTCCTCTCCTCTCGCTAATCTCGGCAGGCTCCCTGGAGGAGGTGAGGGGGGGGTCGGCAGAGCAACTCATTCACAACCGCCCAGGCTTTGGAGCAAGAGATAGGCTGAAAACTCAGTGCTCAGCATTGCAAAAGGCTGAGACATTTATGGGCTCTGTGTAAATTAGCAGGAAGAAATAAGCCTCCTTAGTGTCCCCATGGGGAGGGAGCACGCACAAGAGAAGAGGCCCCGAGGCCCCAGGCACACAGGAACCCGGGTTACAGTACCTGTGAACAGTTCACCCAGCTGACACAGCTTCATCGGAGACGCCACACTAGGTAACCAGCGTGAGCCAGTCCTCACCCAGGCTCTGTATAATAAGGGCAGAAGCAGAGAACAGCTCCCAGGAGGGTGGGGAAACATCTATTTTGTGTCACCCGGGAATGGCACCCTCCTACAACCCCATCGCTTTGACAACGATTCTAAAGCACCCCCCCTCCGCCCCCCGTCTCTGTCACTCACCCACAAAATTAATGACTGAAGGAGAGGACCACAAATGCCCAGCCCGTGAAACGCGGAGACAGAGAGGGACAGAGCAAGTTAATAAATAAAACAAGAGCCTGAAGGGAAGAGCTGCTTTGTCAGAATATAAATATTTCCCTTCCCCTTTTATCTTTAATGTAGTGTGAGAAGCTTATTAAAGGGAAATGCCTCCCGTCCCTGGAGCCCTTGCAGGAGCTTGTGGGAAGCTGTGGCTGGCCTGGCCCCATGCTTCGAAACTCTTCCCCGCTGGAAGCGAGTGGAAAGCGCAGAGCCATAAAGAGGGTCTGGGGAAGAAAAGGGAAGCCATTGTGGCCATTAGGAGCCTTATCTTGATGGGCCTGCTGTCATGTTATGTTAATCGCTGGAAGCCGCCGCCCAGAGACGGAGGAGGAGGAGGAGGAGGAGGAGGAGGAATGCCTATTTGCTCAAAGGTTTGGCCTCAAATACAGAGAGATGCTCACACTGCTAGATTTACCCTCTGCACTGCTGGAGAGCAACACCCAGGTTTACACAAAGGGGAGTCTGTCCTCTGGGGTGAGCGAGGGAGTCCTGTAGGGTATCCTCAGAGGAGCCTCCGTGGCTACACACTCACATCTACAAGACAGCCAGCTCGGGCAGTCCCAATTCCCAGCCCAAAGCATCAAGTTCCTGCAGAACAGAAAATGTCCCCCTCCATACCTTTCTTAAAAACCATAAAAGGAGGATGGGTACAGATCTGGGCATACAAGTAGGCATCCAGTACGTTGTTTGGTTTTTGTTTTGGAGGTAAGGTCTCACGTAGCCCATGCTGGCCTTGAAGTCACTAGCCAAGGAAGGCACTGAACTTCATATCCTCTTGCAGAGCTGGGGATGGACCCTAGCACCCTATGCATGCTCGGTAAATGTCAGCTGAGCTATATCCTCAGCCTGAAGCCAGGTAAGTTTGTGAGTTCGATTGGCTTTCCACGAGGCTGTGCTGATTTTGTTTAACGCTGTCAAGGCCAAGTACAGGGCCTGGCCCACATGGCTTTGAAGAATGGTACGTGAGTACATGCATTTGAACACCATGAAGAGATGTTTTTTTTTTTTTTCCTGTTCGCTATTTCTGCCGCCTTTCTAAGAGTCCTGTTCTGGGTCAGGATTTGAGTTCTCTCAGGCTTTGGTGGCTACCATCATTGTTAACATTTGGAGAAATTCAGACCTGTGATTGCAGAAGGAGAGGAGGATGGCCATTCATATACCAGGTGCCACAGGTTAGCTGAACACCAAGGGGCAAAGAGGATAGATAAGATTGGCTGCCAGAAAGGGTGTCTATCGTCGCTTATTTCTTGATAGCTGTCCCAAGAGAGCTAGTCCCAATCGCTGTCCTCCCTGCCCCACCCTAGACCACACACCCATGCATTCCGATTTCCTCAATGTCTTGAGTGGAACAGCCATTTTTTTAAAAAACCTGCCTTCCTAGCTCGTTAATACTTGGACCATATATGACCTCATCAAGGGTCTGGAGCTTAGGTGCCACCCCATCATTCCTGACGCAGAACCTCTTTACATCCCCTTCGGCCTTCCATCCTCCCCATTTTTTAAGTCTTTTTGGGTCTCAGACTCATTTTTTGTACAGTGCCTTACCCATGGAATCCCATTTAGCTGGACTACAGAGCCCACTCTGAAGCTATGGACTGGATTCATTGCTCATTCCGCTGCACACACACACACACACACACACACACACACACACCGTTCTCAGAACCAATTATATCTTACGGCAACGCCTGTGTTACAGACACGTGATTCAGGGATAGTGAAGAAAGCTGAGCGGATTCCCAGGGAGCTCCTCACCCACCCTTCCAAACAGTGCCTGGGAGCTGTTTGAACTACCTGATCTAACATTCCCTTCCGGCTGGAGCTCTCCAGCCTCCTCTGGGCCGCAGCTGCACTGGGAGCTTGGAACCATGAGAGGGCCTATTTCCAGGGTTCCCACAAACCATGTAGAGGAGGAGGCCTGGGGGCGGGGTAGCACACATGTATCTGCAGGTCGATTGTGTGGAGGAGGGATTAAATATGTACTATTTAGATCAATGGAAGCCTTGGGGAGGCAGACTTCAGCTCGATGTAATGAAGGACTTTTTAACAATTAAATGAAGTGAGAGCCTTAGAGATAGCCCGTCCCTTCATGGAGGTCAGGCAAGGGTGAGATCTCACTGGCAGTATGGCTCATTGGCCAGCAGTACATACACCTGACACTTGGCGATGAGATAAAAGGGGTCCTTCTGGAGTCAGACTGCCCAGGTTCAAATCCCAGGCCCAAATGTCACTAGCTTCGCAATCTTGGGTAAATTTTTCAGCCTTTCTAAAATGTCATTTCTGTGTATGTAATACATACATACATACATACATACATACGTACATACATACCCATACATAGAGATAAAAACATAAGAAATGGGGTATAGTTTATTAGGAGATGAATTATTTTAAATTGATGTGCAAGGGCCCCTGGGTTTGATCCCCAGAACACAAAATACAAATTTGTATCATTTTTTTACAAGGTGATAAGAGGGCTCAGCAGTTACGAACACTCTTCTAAAAGACCCAGATTCTGTTCTCAGCACCCACAGGGCTGTTCACCCCCTTCTGTATGTAACTCCAGGTGCAGGAGATCATATACCCTCTTCTTTCTTCCTTGGGGATCCAGGCACACAAGCGGTGCACAGACATGTAAGTGGCCAAAACAGACATACACACAAAATTAAATTTAAACATATTAGGAGGCCAGAGACCTAGCTCAGCTGTTGGGGGCACTTGTTGCTCTTGCAGAAAACCCAGATTTGATCCTCAGAACCCACACAGGGGCTCCTGGCCACCCATAACTCCAGTTCCAGGGGATCCAAACCCCTTCCTGGCCTCCACGAGCACTGGGCACACACATGGTAAACATACACGTATGTAGGCAAAGCACTCATGCATAAAATAAAATGTTAAAGAATGTTTTGAAAACATTAGGACTGGGTGTGGTGGCCCACGTCTTTGATCCCCGTAGTTAGGAGGCAGAGGCAGGTGGATCTCTGAGTTCAAAGGCAGCCTTGGCTACAAAGCGAGTTCCAGGCTAGCGAGGCCTACAAAGTGAGACCCTGTCTCAGCGTGTGTGTGTGTGTGTGTGTGTGTGTGTGTGTGTGTGTGTGTATGTGTACTAGAATCAGCAAGAAAGTTGCCACCTAGCCTGACCACTTGAATTGGATTTCCACCCATGACCCACGTGGTAGTCCTCTGACCTCCACACCAGTGCCATGGTATTCACACAGGTGTGCACAAAAATAAACAATAAATGAATGAATAAATATGTAATAATAAAAAAAGTAAACCATATTAAAAAATCTTCACCGTTGCCCTTAAGTTTATTTGTTTTTCCAGGGCTTTTTCTTTTCTTTTTTTTTTTTTAACCTTTATCAAGACAACCTATGGGGTGGAGAGAGGGTTCGGCAGTTAAGAGCACTGGCTGCTTTTGCAGAGGGCCAGAGTTCAGTCCCCAGCATCCACGTGGAGGCTCACAACCATCTGTAACTACAAGTGTAGGGGGTATGGTGCCCTCTTCTGGCTGCCATGCGCTCCTGCATGCATGTGGTGCACATACATATATTCAGGTGCACACACAAACATAAAACATCTATTTTAAACATCTATTTTAAAGTGTGTTTTTTAAAATAGTAGGATGGTGTTTTAACCTTCAGCTGCTCAAAGCCCTTACTGGCTTATAGAAGTCAAAAAAGAATAGTTGCCATTTTTCACTTGCTAAAACATGAAATAGCATTTTTGTAACTTATTGGTTTGCTTTTGTTTTCTTTGCCAGAAATAAAACCCAGGGCCTTGAATATGTAGGCTGTCTCCGTGAGCTCCTCGCTCAGCTGTAATTAACTGATGGTTGTGTTTTAAGGATGGTCAGCCAGAATTTACACACAGGGGCGGCCATACAGATCAGCACAGGGACCACTGACCAGGACCTTGCCGTGGGGCAGGTTAGGCTCAACCCCTATAATAAATCTTTATTCTGCACACATATATAAGTACAAACTTCAATGCTGAAACTTTCAGAAACTGTGAGGAGAAAAAGTATTTTAAACGAACACATCTAACTGCACAGTGTAGGGGGGGAAAGGGGGCAGAAACCCGCAGATTATTAAGCCAACAGATATTTGCGAAGCATCCACTGGTGCCAAGTCTCCCGGGTACGAGATGGTTTGGATGCAGGTGCTGTTGCCAAGGGCTCCCCGGGCAGCCAGTAACGGGGCTCTGGCCTTTCCTTTGCAAATATGTCACCTCAGGTGACGGACACCAAGAACAGCCACCTTCACCAGCTGTCCCCCAGGACTCCCAGATGCCACCCCCAACCCAGGTCCCCGCAAGGCCCTGAGCTCAGGACAGCATTCCATAGTCTGGGTCCATCTTCACCGTTGTGTTGGGCACTCTAAACGAAACGGGCCAGACAAAAATAAAGGGGCGAGTTGAACACTGTGAGAATATACCGCTAAGAATATACAAACAATTTTTTTATTTTATTTTTTTGCATTTCCCATTAGATCAGCCTCTGAGGGGAGAGATGTTGGTCTTGCCTAGGAGAGAAACCAGGATTTTGCTTTCTCCTATTATTTTTATGTAACACCTTTCTTGGTTCCAAGAGACCTACCCTAAAACGGACATGGATGGAAATAACCATGGAAGGCCCAAAATATCTTTTCTGTGGGGGTATAAGCATCCAGATTTGGAAAAGAAATCTTTCTCTTCAACAGCTCTTGCAGGCTGTGGTAACTCATAAACACCCATCTCTGCGGGCTATTGGTTCATCATCAGAAACATTCATAGGGAGGGAAGCCCGGCTTTGCTCTGGCCAGCCACTCCCCCAATGTTGCCTTTCACAGCGGCAGCATGCTGGTGGCCTTCTGGGGACCCACTAGCCTCCATCACCCATCTTCCTAAATTGCCTCTTTTAAACCTTTACCAGTGGTAAGTAACGACCTTTCATTGATCATTTACAGCCTCCTGGTTCATCGGATCATCTCTCTGAGTTATCGCGCCCCCCAGGAGACAGGTGCTAGTGAGATTCCCACCACTTTGCAGATGGGAAGTGAAGGCCACAAGGAAATCGCTCAAAGCCACAAAGCTGACCAGCTACTAAATAAGGGTTCAAATCCATAAAACCTGGGCTTTCAACCATACCTCCCAAAACATACCCATAAACAAAGAGTGTATGGGTGTGTGTGTGTGTGTGTGTGTGTGTGTGTGTGTGTGTGTGTGTGCAGCAGACCACACTAATCCCTCCTGGACTGTCTTACCCTCTTCTCGGATGGTAAAACAGAGCTTTCTAAATAGTTGGTGGGAAAATTCTCCCCTGCCCCCTAGCAGAGTGAGAAATGTGAGCTGGTCACCAGGGGAGGTGGCCCCTATGCTTTATAATGATCCGGTCTCCTCCGGCAAACATCCTGGACCTGTGATGCCCTCTGGGACAGCTGGCTGCTGGAGGCGCTAGACCGAACCCCAGCCTCCCGGAGCGTCCCTGGGAACACCTGAGTTGACTGTTTCTCCTCACTCGGTGGGGGCTTTTCTCCAGGCCAGACACACTTAGGGCAGGCTCTGGCTCTTCAGGGCGGGCTAAATTTCACCCCCTTTCTTTCCTCTCACACCTCCCCTACCCCACCCCCTTTCTTATTCAAGGAAAGAATGGGTCCCGCAGGACCTGGGACTCGATTCTCTCTCTAACTAGGTACCCTGGTCTGTAGAGTGGCTCAGATAAAGAGCAGCCAGTAGCCAGGGCTGTTGTGGACGAAGGGTCGGGGAGCGAGGGGGTGAGGGCTTAGCAGGATGTCTCCGGCGTGGTGAGCATTCAACGTTCGCAGTTCATAAAAATAGTAAGGATCCGGCTAGCCCCAGACGCCCGAGGCGGTCAGCTGGCTCGCTCCCAACTGCTCAGCTGGGATTTACGTTAGGACATCACCAGCCCAGGGTGCCAAAACAAAGCAGGACCAATCTGGTCTTCAGAACTAGGGCTTTAAAGCAGGGGGCCGTCTCTTGGGGGTCGCCCCCCCCCCCGGACGAACTTTGTCAATGGAAGGCCGGGGAAGAGAAGGGGTGAAGTTTCACGGGGAGACCAAAGCGCCTTTTGCTGAAGTGAGAAGTCTGTCGCGGTCTTTTTGTTTACCTCCTCTCTAGATGTTTCCTCGGCCTCCGGGGCTGTCTTGGCCCCTCCTCCTCGCAGCAGAAGCTCTTCCCGGGGTCTGCTGGAGGCCACAGGAGCAGGGGGCAGCCGCTTTCCCAGCTCAGACACCAGCAGAGACGACCGACCCCTCCTTCCTCTGCTGCTGAGGTCACGCTGGACCTCAGCTGAGGTTCTCCCGGGCCCTTCCAGATGAGGTCCACCTCCGGGGACTGGCTGCCAGCAGATCGGCCACCCTCACCAACTTCTCCTACGCAGCAGTCACCCTGGTAAAAACAGGGGCGCAGGAACCTAAACACGTGGGTTTTAATATGTCGGTGCTTTCTTTCAGCCAATTCATCCCACACCCCGAGCTTCAGCGGTCTTACCTGTAGAAGAACGTTGAGAATTCGTGACCCTTCTGAAAAACCACCCCCTGAGTCATTCCTCAGTGCAGCCCCCCTGTTGTGATGTCTCTTGTTCTTAACATTTTTTTCTCAAACTTATTTTGTGTGTACGTATGTGGTACCTGCGTGGCCGCGCAGGCCACAGCCCATGTGTGGAAGCCGTGGAACAAGTAGAGGAAATCAGTTTTCTCTGTCTACTAAGCGGGTTCCAGGGAGGGAATCCAGGTCATCAAATTTGGTGTCAAGTGCCTTTTATACCTACCTGCTGAACCATCTCACTGGCTCCTAACTACATATTTTCAAATAAGGTGAAGGAAGTCACGAGCTTTTCCTACATGAGCTTTTCCAGTTGAAGTGGGCCATGGTAATTCACTGCCGCAATCATTTATTATCCCACTGCAGTCAATGTCCCCAGGATTTAAATAAACTTTTGCGACTACCAGTGAACAGAATAACCAGTGGGTGAGCAGGGAATTCAAAACGCAAGGACAGATTTCTCAACATATTAGTAAGAGTAAACTAAGAAATAAAGGGCTTCTCTGTTTCCGTACAGGGGCTTCAGCAGTCAACATTCAAATAAAAGCCGCTTTAACCGGCTTGCACTTTCAAAGCCAAAGCTAACACCACACAACAGAGCGCTTCCTGCTAAATTCACAAGGTAAAAACCAAGTCCGGGAGGAGACCAAGGTTTTCACACGTAAAGGAAATCTCAAAAAGCTCTCTCCAGCCTCTCGGGCACTCTTCACCTGCCGTCTCCCCGAGGGGACAGCACCAGGTCATGCCCCTACTCCTGCTCAGGTGAAGAGCCATTCTCAAATTAGATCACAATGAGGGGCAGCCAGGCTGTAATGATCTGTGTTTATTTAGTAAATGGGTTGATTGCCCTCATTTGTGGAGATTAAGGGTTAATTTCCCCACTGCAAGGAGAACCGATTTCTTGAAGGGCGACCCCAGATAATTAAGAGGAAAGAAACCAAAATTCAGATGTCTTCCCACTTGGTCCAGCACCACCCCACTCCTTCCCACCCCATCTTGGCCTTTGGGGGGGGTGGGGGTGGGGGTAGGGGTGCTTCTCTGCCAGGTACTCAACACCGTGGGTTCTCTGAGTTTTCAGAGCAAGGATTTGGTAAACAAAGGCTTAGGAATCCTTAGTCCCCTTCAAACTGACATCTGGCGAATTTGAGATCAACAGTTTCTCTCTTCCCCCAGCTCCCCGGGCTTTGAAGAGCAAATGTTTCAAGGTTCGCATTCTCTGCCTTTCACAGACTTTCTAATCAAGTGGAGTCAAACCACTTTGTCTACACCTTAATTGAAGAGCCTGGGCTCTAGAGTTTAAAGTGCTATTTATAATAATAGGGAGGAGGCGGGGGAGGGGGTGCAAATGGGAAGGGAAGAGAAGCCATGGGCACGTGGCCCTTAAGGGAACACTCAGTGTGTCTAGCATGGACTTTCTGAGACAAACCACACAGGTGGGGTGTCAGTCAGAAGGGGCAGGGAAGAGACCCCACTCATGTCTATGTTATACACCCACAAGAACCCCACTGATGAGAGTCCTTCTTAGTCCAGAAACCCCCAGACAGAGCCATATCACAAGGCAGAACTTCCTCTGGGGACAAGCTCTGGGTTGACCAGACTGGACCTTCGCCGAGGGTGTGGAGTTCATCAGGAGGACCCCAGGAGTCTTCGTGGCCACTGAGAGAGGGAAGAAATGCAGAGCACCGGTCCCGACTGGCACACACCAGAGTGGGCAGTTCACTGACTTAATACAGTTCTCAAGATAAGGAAACAAACTCCTGCTTCCTGTTTTCTCATCAACTATTTAAAATCCTGGCTTCATATTAGACCCTCTTGGGGCGCTTTTAACAGAAGTTAAAACGAGGGAAGCAGGTTTTTAAAAATTCAGTGCCTTCGCTACCACCCCTTTGAGAATCAACTTTCTTCCAACTCGAAGCCGATTCCCTCCGACCACTTAATTTAGTTTGTGTCTCCTACGTCTGTGTTCAATTTAGAAGAAACAGCCATGCTTTAGACCGGGGTCCTCAGGATCCTGAGGTCTTTTGTCCCTACCTGTATCCTGTCTGTGCCCTTTGAAATCCGCCCAGCCCCCACAAACCCCACACACTGAACTTCCTAGGATGGATGAACTACTAGGCAATTTGATTCAACAAAGCAAATGTCCACCTCGTGGATGCCAGAGCAGACAAATAAAATGGAATCCCTGCTGGGGTCGCCAAGCAGGAAGGGAGCAGGAGCATTTAACCAAAGTGTGATGCCACCGGCCGGGCACACTGATCATACAGGACTCCGGTTGGCTGTGGATATTGAAAGGGAGTTCAGCCGGGCGGTGGTGGCGCATGCCTTTAATCCCAGCACTCGGGAGGCAGAGGCAGGCGGATCTCTGTGAGTTCGAGGCCAGCCTGGGCTACCAAGTGAGTTCCAGGAAAGGCGCAAAGCTACACAGAGAAACCCTGTCTCGAAAAACCAAAAAAAAAAAAAAGAAAGAAAGAAAGGGAGTTCATCAATACAGCACAGTGTCACAGACCCCGACTGACTCCTGTCTCTCACTCTTTCTCCAAGTCCTAGACATCAACAGAAGGGAAGGAAGCAGTATCTGCTTGTGTTTATATCGCATACAACAGACCACTGCTGGCTCACACCCAGGGCCAGATTCAGGGGCTACCTCAGGCGAGACAAGAAAGGAAGCCTGGCAGATCAGACGTGCAGTCAGAGACTTGGGGCCCTCTCACTTTGGAAGAAGGGGAGTTGAAGGACAAGGACAGCAGCAGCCCCCACATCCCGCTCAGGATGGTAGGATGCCTTAGCGAATGTAGTCCTCCTCACAACCCAGGAGAAAGAGGTCCTCCTGAGCTTTTACAGATAATCCGCAGTCAATACATCGATTGCGCTCCTATTACATTTTCCTGGCTTGTTTTGTTTTGTTTCTTGCTTGCTTGTTTTATGCAGGGTCTCATGTACCCCAGGCTAGCCTTGAGCTTGCTATGCAGCAGGGCATGGTATGACCTTGAAGTACTAATCCTCCTGCCTCTGTCTCCTGAGTACCCAGATGACCGATGACCGAGCAAGCTGCTAGGCCAGGTCTTGGGCAGTGCTAGGGAATCTACCCTGGGCCTTCGTGCCTGCCAGGTAAGCCCTTGCCAACCAGCCCCATCCCCGGCGGCCCTGAGCTCTTCAGCTCAGGTGGGCCCAGCAACACGAAGGTCTCTGCAGGACTGAAACTGGCTACTCAGCTGGGAGTGGATGCTTCTCCTGGGCTCCCGGTGATGACGTGGTCAGCTATCTGAAGCTGTGGGCCCACCCCGACAGGAAAGTCAGAAGGAACACACACGTGCTCAGCGTTTTCCAGGCCCTGGCATACAGTTGGTAGGGTTTCCCCTGGTTGTTTAGGGCATGGTAGGGTTTTGAGGGCGGGAAGAGAGCCAGGAAGCGGCCCCTCCCCCGCACCGTGACTTGGGTTTTTTTTTTTTTCTCTCTCTTCCTCCTCCTCCTCTTCTTTTTCTTTCATTCTTTATTATTTTATTTTTCTTATATGGGTATGGGCGTTTGGCCTGCATCTATGTCTGGGTACCACATGTATGCCTGGTACCTGGGGAGGGGGGCAAAAGAAGGCATTTGATCCCCAGATTCCCTGTAGCTGGAGTTAACACAGTTGTGAGCTGGGACTTGAACCCAGGTCCTCTGGAAGAACAGCTGTTGCTCTTGACCACTGAGCCATCCCTCCAGCCCGGTCTTTCCTTCTTGAAACAGGTGTTTCTTGTCCCTTCCGAAGCTCCCTCTCACTCCCTTCTTCGGTCCCGTTTCTTCCTTTGCCTTCCTCTCTCTCCTTCCAGTGTTCCTGCCGCTTCCATTTCATCGCCCTCCACCTGCCCCGCTGCCCGCCCGCCCGGCAGCCCTCGCCTCCTCCAAGCTTCTAATGCTCCTCGACTTTTCACTGTATACTTACACTCAGACTCCCCAAACGAAGAAGAATCTAATTAGGGGGCCACTCTGTATCCCGCAGACACCTGTTGGGCAATGATCTCATGACAGACCTTCCCTCCCGAGGCTGGGTCGCATCATCTATTCATGACTCACGTCCATGAGGTCAGGGGTCATGTGGTCCAAGGATGGCAAAGTCAGTCTGAGGAAGTGAACTGTGGGAGGAGCAGCTGTTCCCTTTCAGAATAGCAGCAGAGAGCTTGAGCCTCATAAATAATATCCCAGGAACCAGCATCACATCATACAACCAGTCACTTGTCCACCCACCCCCCACCCCACCCCACCCCCGTGTGTGTGTGTGTGTGTGTGTGTGTGTGTGTGTGTGTGTGTGTGTCTCCCCTGTCTCTGTCTCTCTCTCCATCTCCCTCTCCTCTTCCCTGTTTCTGTCTCTCTTTCCCATCTCTCTGTCTCTCTCCCCCTCCCTGTCTCTCTGTCTCTGTCTCTCTCCTTTCCATGT